TACAATTACTTAAGTGCTCCCGGCAGCCGAAAGTTTCGGATGGCGGCGAGTGGAACTGTTATAAGTCCTTTTGAAGAGGTTAAGGTGTAGGAAGTCCAATAAGGAAAAATATTAGAAATAATATTGGACACAAAATAAGTTGATTTTTAAATGGAGCATTCAGAAAGGAATAGTTTAGAACCCTGCCGAAAAAGGTTATAAAACTTGGTATATATATATATATATATTATATATAGGTATCCACTTGAAGGCAAAGATCAACTCATAGCAAAATCCAAATAAAAGAGACTAGTCTTCGTTTAAAATCATTTTATCATCTTGGTAAAAATTCCTAATTTATTACACTTTGTTCTCTAATCTAGACCATATAACCATATATTCTAAAATCCAATCATTCTGATGCCATTTTCTCCCCACTGTAGGTATATTAAGCGGTAGTACCAGGTGCCGGAAATACAATACTCGAAGAAGTGGCCCACAAGCAGCATCTTTAGGCCACTCAAGCCAATCTGCCAACACTCGATTGCATAAGCAGCGATTTATCACCGGCCCATTCACATTTAGCGTATGTTTGCCCGAAACGAAACCAAACGGAATTCAAATTCCCCTCCAGGATACAAAGGAGAATGCACTCATTGGAGGCGGAGATCCGGAGATGTGGCGTTGCAGGGCCAGGAAAAATAAATAAACCCACTGGAAAATCCCCTTGCTACTGAGGTCCGAAAGGAAAACAATGCAAAGCGCAGCAGTTTTCTGTTTTCAGTTTGCAGTTTTCAGTTTTCAGTTTCCAGCTCTCTACCTTTGTGAAAGGTCGATGGAAAGTCGGGCGGGGAAAGCGGGTTGAGCGGCGGGCTCAGCTGCGTTGAGAGGAACGTCTGTTTCTAGAATTGTTGTTGCGAGCGGAGGCTGAGGCTCAGGGTTCTGGGATCTGCCCCTGGCGGCTGGCAGGAAGACTAGTGCACTGAGAAAAAATAGCCGCACTTATAACTGAAAATTATGTATATTTTATAGGTCATCATATTAAATGCAATCATAATTTATTGTGGAACCTAACAGATAATTGTCTTTCTATTTTTATGTTTTTGTTATTTTCTAGAAAGTTTTCCGTCTAAGAAATATGAATAAGTTAACAGAAAAACTCTATACATTTTTTAAAATACAAAAAAAAAACAAAGATTATTATTTCATATCCCTTAAAATACTCTTTGTGGCATTAAAATTAGTTCTTTTAAAAACATGAATACCTCTAAAATACAGAACTAGTTCTTATTTTTAACAATTTGAATATTGTCTTGACAGTATCTTACATAATTTGTATAATATTTAAACAATCATAAAAAATACTATTTGTGACATTGAAATTAGTTTTTGCAAATACATGTATACCTCTAAAATATAGGAGTATTTATAGTTTTTACCATTTTAATATTTTCTTAACAGTATCTTACATAAATTTTATAATAGTTTAAAGATCATGAAAATATTTCTTACAGTGCAATAAAGGATACGACGAAGACTGCAGGATGGGAAAGAGGTGGGTTCTGCTCACTGAGCACTGAGCATAAAAAAATGTCTCCTCCTTTGTTGTTGTTGCGTGGGCGAATGCTTTAACAAACAACAGAAGCTGCCGTTTCCCGTTTTGTTGATGAAATAAAATCCGCCTTTTGTGCATTTAATTTTTAGAATGCCCCAGACAAAAGCGCAGGCAACAACAAAGGGCGTATCCAAAAATTTAACGCAAACAACCTCACCCACAACAATGCCAGTAGATTCACAATGGCCAGAAGGACACTCTGTGAATAACCTGGCCGGTTGCCGTTGTCGTTGTCGTTGTTGTTGTCGTCTGTCATCTAACAAAAGGACACCAACTGCAGCCAGCCTGCAATTTGATGCCCTGCTCTAAAGAAAAGGGTTGAATCCCCTCACGGTTCTCCCGATTTAGCAGACCCATTCGAAGACTGTTGACGAAGACGACTTAATTATTGGCACGCGCTGCAATTTTTCGCATTGACTTCGCTGTGGCGCCACGTGGCGTATGCGCGACCTCCGACCGCAACAATGCCACAACAACAATAACCATTATAACAACAGCATCAGCAGGGCCAAACGATATATTAAAGGATATTAAAAAACCTCGAGACAAAAAAAATAGATACAATACCTGGAGAAAAACACAAAAAATTGCAAAGATGTTACTTATCAGCATTGGAAAAAATCTTTAAGGATGTTAATTACAATGTTTTTGTAATGGGATTTAAAATGTGCATTCTTTAAAATATCAAGCATGGAATTATGAAAAATAATATAACGTTACATAAAATTATCAAACAAAAAAATATTCGTTTTCAAAAAAATTCGTTTTTTAAGAATTGAAAACAAATTGGTATAGGATTGATAATATGAAAAGCTGAATTTGTATATTTAAAAAAAACCAATTTAATTAATATAATCTCTTTCTTTGCTATAAATTATTCTTTCGAAAAAAAAGATTTTATATATTTTTGGAATATTTATTAAGAAACAAGCTGGTTTTCACTGTATAAAAATATTACAAAGGCGCCAGAAATACGTTAGGAAGCTGTTGTAAAAATTACATAAATGGATTTAGCAGAGATCCTTCTTCCACAGACCTCACGTTCCTTATCCGTAGTCCCTTCTGCTTCTTATCCGATGCCAAAAGGAACTTGGATTCAATGCGAAAATAATTTCTTTATCCTTTTTATGTGCCCATTTGGCATGTGCCGTTATGCCAAGCCCAAAACTCAAGCTCAATGGCCTCCAAAAAGGGGAGTGGGTGTGGGGGGTGGCGGTGGCAAAGTGGGCGTGGCAGCAGGGGGATGTTAAGGGGCAACATCAACGACTTCGTCGCCGTCGCCGTTGCTGTTGTAATAACATCCCCCAAATGGGTCATTTGCGTATCCTCAAACAGCGAATAAAAATCAGTGAATAAGAAAAACAGGAAGTGTCAGAGGACATCCGCATGTTTGTTGTTGCCGTTCCGCAATTGTGGGTGTGTGTGGGTGTGGGCCATAAAGGAACCAGAGTGTTTGGGCCTCAATACTTTTGATTAAGAGTTCGACAACGTAACGCTGCTAATTGCAAACGACGCTCCGACGCACGATTTATGTCGTGACCGAAATGGTCATCGTAGTCCTTATGCCACGAGTATCTACATCGTACATTCCCCTCCCATCCCATCCCATCCGATCCGATCCCTCGTTCCCATTTCTCCTTCCAGCACTACTTTGCCAAAAAGGGCAACCTCTAAATGGGCATGTCTACTAATTATCGCTGGGCGTGCTGCATTGTATTGTATTGTGCTCCCGAGTGTCAGCCTGTCTATCTGGAGAAAGGTTTTTAGGTCCCCGTATCGAGGAAATTTAAACCGAAGTCGGCCGGAGGGGGTGGAGGATTAGAACAGAAGTCCATTGAAGTGTTATCGATGGAATTGACTAGGGTTACCGAAACCTGATTACATTCGTTGTGGCCAATATGAAGCGGATTATGTGGGTTGCACTGCCGGTACGGGGTTGATCGGCGAAAGTCGCTGGGAACTGGCGATAATCCCATTCATATTGGCACTAATTAAAGGCAGACTCATAGCGGTACTGCGCGCGGGTAATTGCTCTCCAAAGGTCACATTTCCTCCATCTGGCAAGAGTCTGTCATTGTTATAATCGATATGAGATAAGGGGAAATTGGTAAGTACAAGTAATACCTATAAAAATGATATGTTTATCAATATGATATGATGATATGTTTATTAAGATAGTTTCTGAGATAAGATTCCTAAATAGGTATTCGAATTTCTTATTATTTTTATTTAATTTAGAACACATTTGTATAATTATCTTCAATATAATGGTATTACTTTTATAGCTCTAACATTCTTATATCTTTACGGTTATAGCTAAATTTCCCCAGACCATTAAATGATTTTCCCACTGGCCAGTGCCAATCTCAGAAGGCATTCATTCGCATCTCGTATGCAAATCTCAAGAGCTATTGGCAAAATTAAACTTTCTAAACGCTGACATGTAATCCCCCGAGTTGGAGTCGCCGTCTGCTGGTAATCCTTTTTTTCGCAATTAACAACGCATACGCATGTCAACACAACAGCGGGCAGCCTCATCCTCATCCTCATCCCTATCCTCATCCTCTGAAGCCACAGCAACATAGTGCAGTCAAGGAGGAGCAACCCAGACACTGTGCCACATAACCCAGCCGATCCCATACCCATGCCATGTCTCGCTGGCCAAGATTAATGGGCGAGTTGCGTTCTGTTGTGGGGACTTATGGAAATTCATCATTATCTCGCAGCTAGCAGCTCCTCAGCACTTTGGCTACAACTGGCTGGTTTAATGAGTTCCCGAGCGATGTTCAATCCAACTCATTAGCTGCACTTTTCCTGCTAGCCCAATAGTGCAAATGTGTCTCCTGGATACTGTATACTGTATATATATATATATATATATTTGTCATTGTCAACATGGCTGTAGAACATCGGAATCGGATTCGCAGGAGGAGGCTGCAGCTGCTCGGGCTTTCGGGCAGGTGATTAACATAAACGCCAAGTGTCATGTTTTGCACTTTTCCAAGTTCTAAGCAGAGTTTCTTTTCTGTTTTTTGATTTTTTTCATGGGACTAGCAAATTGTACGGATTCTAATGGTCGATTTCCAGGGCAGTTTTCCTAATCCGGGAACTTGGCACGCGCTGCGAAAACTTTGAGCCATAAATCACGGCGCTTGCCAAACAAACAAGCCCGCAACCGCAGACGAGCAAACAAAAAATAAAAAAATACAGAAATCGGGAGAAATACACACACAAGTCCAAAGGACCAAGGACCAAGGATGAATCCTTGGCCGGACCATCCACCTTTGATAAATTCAAGAGCACGCACTTTTGATTTAGGCAAATCCCCACTCGGATATGTGAGTATATCATGCATTGGCAGAAGTCGGCGGATCGTATGAGGGGGCTGAAAAAATCTCCATAATATATGCCGGAACATATTCCGCACACAAATTGCAACCAGCAAGGAGTCGGGATTCCAGAATCCAGATTCCTGACCAGTCCGCATCCCGCTTCCCAGGATTGCAATATTATAATTCAAATTTATGCAGCCACGAAGGAACCCTTTTCACACGCACTTTCTTATCGACAGCGGGTGATTGGGTGGAATTGGGTGGGGAATATCCTTCGGTGGCAGGACATTCACTTTCTGGCAAATGGAAAACGAGAAGACTGGCGGCGGAAACGGAAATGAAGCCAAACGGAACAAGAAAAACAAATTTACAAAATGAAAATGCCACACACACAAGGGGGGAAGTGGGGGTTTCTGGGTGGAAAACCAGCATCCCCACGGTATTCGTTTGGCGATTTGCCTGTCACAGGGTTCGCAGAATACAAGACCCCCAACCTTCCCCCTACCAAAACTCCTTCCAAATGCTCCTAACTCACCAAATATCGTTGCTGTCGCCGTGGCTGCCACTTGTTTTATTTATTGCTTTTTTAACCCTTTTTTTTGGGACTCGCCGCCGCTTGTTTTTCTCGATTTCCCCCAGTCCTGGCCCAAATGAAATCGAGCCAACCCACGAACCGCCCACTCAAAAGCTCGAAAGGCGGGAAAAGTTTCGCTTTTGCAGCACGCAAACTGCAATCGAACGGCCGCTTAATGAAGTCGCCGCCAAGTCCATTCGAAATGCATCGATTTCCTGGTCTCCGCTTTTATCCTAATGAAAAGAAAGTGAATCCGGGAGTTGGGGAATTTGCATAAGCCCAGTAGCGGGATTCAATAAGGAAAGTGGCAGGCAACTAGATAAAGGTCAATTGTCTTGCGAGGGAGTTTAGGAACTGTTTTTAAATTTCTTAAGTCTTTTTTGGCAGAACATGATAGTTCATTACTTTTAAGAATACCTTTTTAACATGTTAACCTGCGGTTTATCTTTCTTAAATCAAATCCGAATATATTATGAAACTCAACAACAGCAGTTAATATTTAACCAATTGTTAAGGTCTGGGTCAAATTTTCGACATCTTTTGTGTACAATACACAAGACTACAGAATTAAGTTGACATTTAGTTAATTTTCGTCTGGCATTTGCGGCGTGTTCCAATCAAGCGAAGTGGTCAAGGCTCCCAGCTGGTGCTGGCTAATCTACATCTACAAGATTGACATTTTTCCCCCACACGGGGCCTCCATCATAAATTGGCAATCCTTAAAGAGCAGCAAAAACACACCGTCCACCGGTCGTGGAGCAACTTCATTACATGGCAGATCCGAGAGATTCGGCTTAATTGAGACGCAGTTCGTCTGGCAGTTGCCAGTTGCCTGGCCAAAGTTAGCAGCTTTTTCATTAGTTATATTAATTGAATGGCAAACACACGGCACCAAAAAAAAAAATCCGTTAATTTTTTGTCGCCAATTTGGTGGCCAACCACCAAGGCAAAGTCACTTTTTTCCAACCATTCGCTTTTTCACACTCTGTTTTGGAGTGGATATTATGGGTATTCGTGGGGGAGTTGGGGAAATCGCTTTATTGCAGATGATATATGGGATGATGCTGCTGATGACCTCATTGCCGGACCCCAGAGTGCACTGGGAAAAAAATTATGCATTGCGATCCACGCTATTTTGATTTGAATATATTATATAATATTTATATCATATCATATCATATCATATCTTATCATATCAATATATCATATCTTATCTTACAATATCATATCATATATTGTAGTATCATGTCCTATAATATCATATCATATAATATCACATCATGTAATATCATATCTTATTATATCACATCATATCATATCACATAGTACCATATCAGATATTTATCCTTTAAAGTATTCTTTTTTATAAGTTACCTTAAATATCTGAATAACTTTTAAATATTTGATAATATTTTTGGGACTACAAATTTTAAGCTATTTGTGCAGTCTTTTAAGTATGCAATTGATTTTCATATTTCTTTCTGTGTTGGGATTTTTGCAAAACCTGGTCTGCTGACCATCTGCCCCTCATCTTTGCTAATAATTTCAGCTGGTTGTCTACTATGTTTTCCTTTTTTTTCTGTGCCACCTTTTTGTTTGTTTTGTTTCGCGCATTCTGCCTGCATAATGACAAAAGTTTGTACTACAATCTCGGAGTTTTAGCCACCGGCTGCCGACTGTGGGCCGCCAGCTCGGAAATACATAGCTCCTCGGTGGTCAGCGTCCATTTGTCCACTGCGCAGTCGAGATGACAATCATTTAATTAGAAACTTTCCCATAGGCTTCTGCTCGTCTGTTGTTGCCTTTTCTTTTCTCTCTCCCGCTGTTTTTTATTATTTTTATTTTTTTTTTAGTTTTAATAAGTAGTTTTGCGAGCTGTTAATTAACTTGTTTGAACAGGTGTGAAAAAGTTGTCAGGGGGTGGGGGAAGGGGCAGTAGCAGGGGGAGGGGTCCGGTAATTACAGTTGGCCAACTTTTCAGAATACCTGGCCTCGCTCTTTGTCCGTCTCTCATATTTGCATAAAGCAGCGGTAGCAATATTGCAGGCACAGCAGCAACATCGCCGCCTTTTATGCATTCTGCAGTGACACTCATCATGGAATTGGAATCGGAGGATTGGGGCTCGGGGACTGGGGACCTGGGGTCTGGGGATGGAGAATCCAGCGGACTGCAGACCTTGCAGAAATTAAAAATTCCGATCGGAATTCCCCGATAAGTTGTCGCCGCAGAAACAATTAAATATCGCTGGCGTCGTCCACGACACGATTGGCATTTGTTATAGGCGCCTCGCTGCTCGCAAATGCGTAGCAATTGGCGCTACATTTGGCCACGGATCTGAGCCACTGGCACCTCCACATCCATTGGATATATACCCAGTACCCACTACCCAGTACCGGTACCTCCAGCACCACCAACTCTCGAGCTACGTGACCGATCGCCGTTCGCGATACGCAGTACGCTGCCACCGATCCCAGGCGACTATTTTGGGCTTGGGCATCGAAACCCCAGGAAGACTGGCATCCGCGATTCCGCGACTCCGAGACAGGCGAGTCAAAGTGTCAGGGCGCCAAATGGAGCGATGGAGCATTGGAGCATTGGAGCGGCGGATTTGCCGTTTGACTGATGATCGTGATTAGGCGGCGATCCGATCCGTTTCGAGACCCAAGAGCTGGGAACCGAGACCCCGGCTCAGTTAACCAGATCAAACAGAGAGAAAAAATCTGCATTCAAAGTGGTTGTAAGATCAGATAGTATGATACAACATGGGGGTTTTTATCTGTGACAGATCTACTTGATAATTCCATATTATTAGATTTCAATTTTCTTTATGGTTTTTGAATACATTTATAAATTATGTAGATTTTTTCTTGTAAATTTAAAATACCATGGGTATTATTATTATCTAAAAAAATGTTTTTAATACTTTATAGACATTGGAATAAATTGTATGGAATGGTTATATGGTTTTATATCATAAAATTATTATAACAAAAAGAACCAGTGGGTTGTCTGATTAAAAAAAATTTTATGCATCGTTAAAATACGTATAGCAAATAGCTATATAAATAAAAGATAACCGAATTATTTAGGGTTTGTTGAAAATTTTGAGCCCTGTGCATTCGTTTCTCACCGAAACCCTATAACAGATTTCCAGGCCTTTCTAGGGCGGGAACCGAACCGCAGATCAGCCAGGTTCATTAAGCGAACGCTTTGTATAAATTATGCTAATGATGCTTCAATTGATTTGTAATAAAAATCCAAAACGTTGCAGCCATAAGATAAATATGCTCGAAGCACGCACTCCGCCGGGCAAGCGGATCGCATAGGATTGGATTGGGAACTGGAACAGGAATCACTGGATCGGAAAGGGGAGCATGGTATCCGCGAGGATGGCATGGGGATGAGCATCTCCTGGTGCATGTTATGTGCTATGGTGTGTTGTCCGCCTGTCGTCGCCGTTGTCCCCCAGCGGCGTTTTTAGTGTTGCAGCTGCAGCGGCAACATCGCAACATTGCAACATCGCAGCAACATGGCCAAGTTTACATAATTAGAAAGCTGGCGCATATGCTGCCGCCCCCACACCACTTCCTCAGCCTATCATCCTCTCAGCCACTCAACCGCTTCCACATCCAATTTTCGGTGGTGCAGACAAGTTCAAGTTGCCGGCTTTGAACCCTTTTACCAATTTCGCACACTCTGCCATTTCGACGTTGCCGTGGCCCCAGCTGCTGCAATTAATGCTCCATGTGGGCTGAGGATTCGGGATTCCACCCACATACAGTCAGTCCTTTCAAAATCCCCCACACCCCTCCAGTGTGTGTGTGTGCAAAATTGAGAAAACATGCCTAATTTCGTGTAATTGCTATTTGATTTATTGCAATCTACAAAATTTGACTTTTGGCGCAGTCTGCGCCGCCGTCGTCAAGTTGCCGGAGTTTACCCTCCTCATCCGATCCCCTGGATTTCTGGATTTCTGGGATCAGGCGACCATATAGCTAGTGTTTACTGTTAGTCGTGGCTGGTGGCCTTCGTTTTGTGCGCGGATGAGCCTGTGCCACCCACCCAGATGTTGGCAACATTTTCTAATGAGTAATTTGGCCAACGGAGCTGCCTTGTTAATGATGTGCGTGAGTGGGTGGCCAGATGGGTGGGTGGTTCTATAGCCGAGTGGCTGGAGGATGCGTGATAAGATTTCAGAGACGAGTAATTGCCAGTCCAGGACAGCTGCGGGCCAAGACATAGCGCCTGTCAGCCAACTCTGCTGGCCAAGGAGCAAAAGCAACTAATAACGATTCCCTTACAGTCGGGCCAAGAACTATATGGAGTAGTTCTGGCGGGGATGGTTATCCCCAATGCCTTAGGAGAACTCTCGGGCCTTTTATGACAGTGTATTACAAAATAACGCGAGAGCAAACCAACAGGCAATTACAGTTGGCAGCAAATTAAACTTTTTAAATATTTTTAAATTGTTAAAATTTAAGAAAATATATTTAAATCAATGCCTAGTGTATATAATCTCATAGTTTGAAACCTTTTAAGGGAAAGACTTGAGTTAAATGGTACAAAATTAAATATTTATTATTATTATTATTTTTTTATTATTATTATATTATTATTATTATTTTTATATTATTTTGGAAAGTATCTTAAGTTTGTATGATAATGCTCAAGTAAAATTCAAATTATAAAAGGTTAGTTTAATATGAAGACATAGATAAATTTAACTATATGGTTATAATTCACACTTAAAAAAATAAATATTTTAGTCATGTCAAACATTGCTGATTTATTGATTGCTTTCTATGTTAAAAAAATAACATATAAGGGAATCCACCAAAATTTCTAGATAGTTACCTTCTTAAAAAAGATAAAAAACATATTAACTGCATTCTATAAACTACACTAATAAATATCCTTTCCTTAAATGCGAATAAAAGTGGTAGAACCTAGAAAAAGATCTTTAGATATATCATTAAAGCCATTTAGTAAAAATATCTTGCAGTCCAGTGTTGCCACCCAGAGGTGCCGCAGGTATGTGGTGTCCTAATGAAGCCCACCTATATGGGCACAGAGTCGCCT